ATCTGGTGATGGATGGAGACAGAGAGAGAGATCCACACTGGAGCACTGGACTGAGCTCCCAAGGTCCCAATGAGGAGCAGAAGGAGGGAGAACATGAGCAAAGAAGTCGGGACCACGAGGCGTGCACCCACCCACTGAGACAGTGGAGCTGATCTACTGGGAGCTCACCAAGGCCAGCTGGACTGTGACCGAAAAAGCATGGGATAAAACCGGACTCTCTGAACATGGCGAACAATGAGGGCTGATGAGACGCCAAGGACAATGGCACGGGGTTTTGATCCTACTTAATGTGCTGGCTTTGTGGAAGCCTAGCCAGTTTGGATGTTCACCTTCCTAGATATGGACGGAGGGGGGAGGACCTAGGACTTACCACAGGGCAGGGAACCTGGACTGCTCTGTGGACTGGAGAGGGAGGGGGAGAGGAGTGGGGGGAGGGGTAGAAGGGTGGGAGGAGGGGGAGAAGGGTGGGAGGAGGGGGAGGGAAATGGGAGGCTGGGAGGAGGTGGAAACTTGTTTTTTGTTTATGTTTTTTTTTCTTCTTTTCTTAATAAAAAAATTATTTAAAAAAAAAAAAAAAGAAAACAACCTTGAAAAGGGAAAAAAAAAAAAAAAAAAAAAACACAGAATCAAAAATATGCAAAGGAGCTAACACTCTGCCTTGCAGATACTCCCAATAGCTTTTCCCCACAAAATACATTAATTGCATCTTAATGAGTATAAAATGATTTTATGACCCTTGCAATAAAGAAACTTGGCTGGGTATGGTGGTGTGCATCCCTAATTGCAGTGCTGATGACTGACATAGAAGGACTGTTAGTTTGAGGCCAGCCTGGGATTCTCTGGGAGACTGTCTCAAAACAAAAATGTAAACAAACAAATCCTTGAAAATACATATACTGGCAGGTTTTGACTGTCAACTTGATACAAGGTAGTTATCAGAGAGGAAGGTGCCTCAGTTGAGGAAAGGCCTCTATGAAATCCAGCTGTAAGAAATTTTCTCAATTAGGATCAATGTGGAAGGGCCAGTCATTGTGGGTGGTGCCATTCCTGGGCTGGTGATCCTGGGTGCTTTATGAAAGCAGGCTGAGCAAGTCTGGAAGCAAGCCAGTAAGCAGCATCCCTCCATGTCCTTAAATCAGCTCCTGCCTCTGAGATTCTGCGCTGTTTGAGTTCTTGTTCTGACTTTCTTCAATGATGAATAGCAATGTTGAAGTATAGGTCAAATAAACCCTTTCCTCCCCAACTTGCCTTTTTGGTCACGACATTTGATCACAGAACTAGAAACCATAACTGAGACATTACATTTAGTAAAGAGGTAAACACCTCACAGTCATGAATCAAGTTGAATTTATGTGATCCCTAAAGAAATTCAATGAGACAAGCACCTCACTTCTGTGGTTTCTATCAGAGGCTCATAAACCATGAGAAAGCACCGCACACAAAAATCAGACACATACTGAGGACACTATAGCTATTAACTAGCTGCTACTATTTAAAAAAAATCAAGGCCGTGTGGAAAGGCTAAAGAGCTATTTCAGACTGGTGAAAACTAAGGAGGCAGGACAGCTAAAAACAAGGGACCATCCTGGATTGGACTGTAGACAAAAGCTGGAAATAACTGGGACAAGTGGTGTCTTAGAGTTTCTATTGCTGTAAAGAGACACCATGACGACAAGTCTCATAAAGAAAACCAATTCATTGGGTGGCTTACAGTTTCAGAGGTTTAGTCCATTATCTTCATGGTGGGGCATGGCAACATGCAGGCAGATATGGTGCTGGAAAAGGAGCCACATACTGATCCCATAGGCAGCAGGAAGTGAGCTAAACTAGGCGTAATTTGAGCATAAGAGACCTCAAAGCCTACACCCCAGTAACACACTTCCTCCAACAAGGCCACACTGCCCTTCCCTATGATCTTATCGGAGCCAATTAAATCCAAACTACCATAAGTGGTACTAACTTAAGCTGAATCCACAAATACCATGGTATGAAGTTATGAAGGTACATGTTCCTTAAAATCATGTTGAAGCCCTAGCCCCAGTGCAGCTCTATCCAGACTACGCTATTACTAAGGTTAAATGAGATTATAATGGAGAACAAGTGATCGATCAGATGCAGTTAGTGTATCTATAAGAAAGACATCACAGCCGGGTGGCGGTGGCATATACCTTTAATCCCAGCACTCGGGAGGAAGAGTCAGGAAATGTCTGAGAATTCAAGGATAGCCTGGTCTAGAGTGAGTTCCAGGACAGGCTCAAAAGCAACAGAGAAATCAAGTCTCAAATCCCCCAACACTCCCTCAAAAAAAGACATCACAAAGCTTGCTGCCTTCTCCCAGGCATGCCAGTCCACAAGTGTACTACAGGCGAGGGGGGACCCTCATGAGAAATGCATTAGCCAGTACCTTGCTCTTGGTTTCCCAGTCTCCAGAAACATAATACATTGTTGAGTAACCTAGTCTGCAGTGTTTTGTTATGGTGGCCCAAGGTGATAGCACAGTAATATTGAATTGATGCTAAATCCCCGCTTAGGATGGCTGTGCTGTGTCCTTGTAATCAATACTTCTGTAAGTATTAAGTTTACAGTTCCAGAATATCATATGCCTGCTCTCTTCTCAGATGGTACAGAGATCTTTAAGGCTAGGGAAACTAGGTAAAGGAAAAGTGGGAAATTTATTACGTCTGCAAAGATTATGTAACTTTTAAAATTATTTCAAAGTAGAATTGGAGATTGAAAAGTTTTAATTATCATCCAGAAACATTTTTATAAACATGAACTGTCATTTTCCATTATCGTATTGGGATTGGATTGATGTCTATTTTATTAAAAGAGAAATCTAGAAAGACTTACATCACTTTACTGCAATCATAATGGCTGTACCTCAGATAGTCACGTTCAGTTAATAAATAAAAACATTCATGATTACAACTCTATTAATGGCATATTTATACAGCTGCTTTGAATAATCTGGATGGAAAAATACCTGGAGACAGGGTGGGGGGAAGGGAGGAGGGGAAAGCTGAAGGAAATACACTGTTAGCTTCAAGCACATTAAAGTTAGCATAGGATTTTTTAAAAGAAATTACAAGCATATTGTCTGTGTGTGTGTGTGTGTGTGTGTGTGTGTGTGTGTGTGTCTGTGTCTGTGTGCACCATGTATGTGAAGTGCCTGAAGGGCTAGAAATACTGGAACTGGGGCCAAAGCTCTGAGTCCCCCGGTGAATCCTGGGAACTGAACCCAGGTCCTCTGCAAAACAGTAAAAGCTTTTAACCTCCAAGCCGTATCTCCAGGCTCCTAGTATGGAGTCTACACTGTAGACAATTAAGAGGTCTTCTCCTAAAAATCTGACAGTCTGGTGTAAGCTTCACGGTGCATACAGAGGGAAAGGATGATCAAACACTGCCACAAGGAAATGAAAGCAAACTTCTAGAGTAAGAGAGGTGTCACTTGTGTGGCCATGTACCAGAGTGCTGCAGTAGACAACGAGTTAGATTTTATCGACACTACAATTTCGCAGCTCTGTGGCCACTAACCAGTTACTGATCCAAGGCCTCCATCTCCTCAGCTACTACAGTTGCCTCACGTCTGCTTCCACCCTTGCCCCTTGCACTCTCTCATGTGACTAACATCTTTTTCTTCCTTCAGTGTGAATAAAATCAGATCACGTTTCCCCACTGTTCCTAGCACTAAGCTTCCCTTAAAGTGGTTTCAATAGCTTTATCAGGTTTTTGTGTACCCGCGGGGAACCAATTTCCTTCCACTGTCAGCTTTGCTCAGTCTGCAAGGTTCACACTGACTTTGGTTTTTTTTTTGTTGTTGTTGTTGTGCTGTTGTTTTGTATCTTATCCAATCCACCCCTGCCTCTAGACTTGTGTGTGACCCAAGACTGTTTTGTGGGTAGCTCTTTTTCACGGTTCAGGAGTAGGCTCAAATGTCACCTCTAGGATGACCTTATTTTACCTTTTACAGAGAGACATCATGCCCCCAGCTATTTTGATAACCGACCCTGTTAGCTGAAATCCCCTTATTTACAGGTTTATTTTCCTAGTCCTACAGTAGACAGGGCAATCAATAACAAAAGTGTGTGTGTGCCTGACTTATTTGGATGATGCCCCAGTCAACTAAGAAGTGCGAGGGATAAATGTTGACTGACCTACAGTTCTTTAGGCCTTCCGGTTTCTAACGCACGAAGGGGGGGATAATCAGACCCACTCTTGCCATTAGAAACTAGACCTAACTTTATAAAGATCTTCCTATGCCTGCAGCAGTGGGAAAAATCACTTCATTTGCTTATCCTCATGCACCACTGTGATTTCTACTCACGAAATAAGGTCAGCAGGTTATGGAGAAGTTAAAATAAAATAAAAGAGATGTAAGGACAAGGCCCCAGTAAATTCATCAATGCTTAACATCAGAATCTGCTCTTAGCTGCTATTTACTAGTGGTCCTTGTTTGTCCTATTAGCGAACTGAAGACGGCTATTGCATATTTCCCGGGGGTCTTGGCCTGCCCGATTCACGTTCTTATTCCTTCAGTCCCCCCTTTAAAAGGCTCTCATATCTTGGTCCTTCTGTTCTGAACCGCAGTTTGCAAGCGGTTCTCTGCCTTGATGTTCTTATGGGGTGAATAGCAAAGGAGTATCAGCGCCGTGGAAGGCGTCTGCAAATGAGCTGAGAAGACGCAGAAGTCGAGAGTATTGGAGAGGGATGCAGTTTGCACAATAAGTGTTCCTGAAAGAAGGAAGTTTGCCTGACCTCAGGTCAGAGGTGGTTAGTGAACTCCAAGCGGGAGCCCCGCGCGAGAGCTGCCGCTGGGGGCCGCTGGGTCGAGACAAAGGCTGGTGGAGTTTGGGAAGATGGGTGTAAGTGTTACAGTACAAACCCCAGTGAGGAACTTGCATGTAGAGGGCCAGATGCATTTTCCACAAAGTAAACTAGAGAAGTATTAGAGGGAAACAAACTGCAAGGCACAGCCACCTAGCAAGAAAACGCGAACTTACCCTCTTCTGGCCACCCGGCCTCCGTAGCCCGGCTACTACCTGAGGAATCTGGTCGTCAAGGCAGCGGCGGGGCTCTACCCGGCTACCGCGAGACTCGAGAGGTCTCGCGAGTTCTCGCCAGCGGCCCTGACAGGCGGGCGTGCTTTCCAGGGGAGGTTATGGGAGGATTTTGGTGTCCGGGATGGAGGTTGGTGGCTCTGTGCGGCCGGTGCTGGAGCCAGCCCGGGTGGGCGGGCTGGACTGTGGCGAGATCGGAGCCAGTTCTTAGGCCCAGCTGGAAGGGGCTCGGAAGTGCCGGGCGGGGCCTGAGGCGGCTCGGGACATGGGAGCGTCCGAGCGGGGTACGCGGTCCCGCTGCGCAGCCGCCCCGGCGGCCGAGGAGCAGCAACCCGTACCAGCGCGCGCAGGAGGACGAGTGGCGGCGGCGGAACAAGACGGTGCTCACCTACGTGGCCGCGGCCGCCGTGGGCATGCTGGGGGCCTCCTATGCCGCCGTGCCCCTCTATCGGCTCTACTGCCAGGTAGGGAGGGACGAGGTGCAGGATGGAGCCCTGCGGCGCCATCGTCCCTGCTGGGCCAATGCAGGCGGAGGCCACGGTTCTCCCGTTGATGCGGCTCCAGATCGGGTCAGACGTGCACCGGGGAAGGCCAGTTCCGGGAGAGACGGAGCTGGTGCCACGCCTCAGAAGGAATGAGCCTTAGCACAGGGACAGGGTACTCCTGGCACTTAGTGAGTAGAGAGGTTAGACAGGCTGTTAGCTACCTGGAAGTTCACGGGACACTCCGCCCCCCCCCCCCCAAAAAAAAAGATTTTCCAACATGCCAGTAGTACTGAGACCGACAGAAATGAAGTAGTTAACACTCCTGAGTGTCTGTTCACATGCTTTCGTCAGGTTAGGCTAGGTTAACATTAGGTCTTAAAAAAAATAGCCTTAAAATCAAGTTCCATGTTTAACACTAGTATGTCCTTGAGAATGCCCTGCTACTGTGAAATCAACAAGTTTTAGAACAAGAAATAAAGTAAGTATAGGATGCCATGGAATGCAATGGTCCCTTTTTATGAGCCAATTAAAATGAAACCCAGCGATACTATGATTGCCTCAGCTAGTAGTAGATCTGGGCTTGAGCCCAGGATGTCATTTTAATGACTGTTTGTCTAGTTTAGTTTAAGCACTGAACTTGAGAAACTTTAATCACATATGTCCCAAGAATATATAAGGAATTGATATTGAAGGAGAACACTTAAATTTCTTTTTATTCAACTGACTTAAATTCTTTAGGAAAAATAGTTTGTCTTAAAACTCAGTCTTTTAAACAAAATTATATATATACTTGTTAAATAAAGTCAAATACTTGTCCTGCAGTTCATCTCTTAGGTTTAAAGTGGAATTTGACAATGTTGAGAGAAATTGCTGAAGCTTAGTAACTTGTGTAACAAGCAAAAGAAAGATAGTAAAATATTAATACGGTAGTTTTTTAGAGTCTTCCATTAGCCTCAAATTTGACCTTTTGTTTTTCTAGTATAGGCATGGTAAATTATCTGGGAATCAGAATTTTGATTATCATAAGAATATCTTAGAAGTAGCATTGTCCCCACATCTGATAAAATGATAGTAATGAGCCCGGGTCCTCTGGAAGAGCAGTCAGTGCTGGAGAGATGGCTCAGTGGTTAAGAGCACTGACTGTTCTTCCAGAGGACCCGGGTTCAATTCCCAGCACCCACATGGCAGCTTACAACTGTCTGAAGATCCAGTTGCAGGGGATCTGACACCTTCACACCGGTGCACATAAAATAAAGTTAAATAAACCATAAAAAATACTTTTAAAAAAATTCCTGGTACTTTATGGCAGTTGACTGGGAAACCAAAAATAAAAAGCCTAAAAAAGGTTAGGTACTCATTAACTGTCAATGAAGGATAAAAGATCTCTGTGTTTGCAGAGAATTACAGGTAAGTGTCAGATAATCATTGCTCCATCCACACGGGGAAACATTTATGATTCCCTGGGAAAACAGAATATACAAATGAAACTCTGAACTGATTTCAGGTCTGAAAACTGGTGCAGAAACATGGACAGTTTTGTGTTTTAACTGAAATGACTGGGTGTGGGTAAGCTGGTTTTTGTAAGTGAAAAATAGTTTATGTAAACTAGACTAACAGTGAAGGGATCTGTTTAATGAAAGGGTACATGTCAAAAGTCTTGCTTTCCACTCAGTAATAATAGCTTGTCTTCAAAATCTGCTTTTAAAAGTGACTCCTTGCTAGAAAAAAATAGGACTCACTTTACCAAATATAGACAAACCGTTGACACAGAGGAAAAGATCAGGGGTAGTATACAGTTTGGCTCAAAGTAGAGCATTTGGTTGTTTTTCAAATTTTACTTTTTTCCAGGAGATACATGGAGATCTAAACACTGTTGCTTAACGTATCCAGTGTCTTGTTCTAGACTACTGGACTTGGAGGATCTGCAGTGGCCGGGCACTCATCCAACCAGATTGAAAACATGGTGCCTGTTAAGGATCGAATCATTAAGGTCACCTTCAATGCCGACGTGCATGCCAGTCTCCAGTGGAACTTCAGACCTCAGCAAACAGAGATATATGTGAGTGACGAGTAGGTGCATCTGTTAACCCATCTGTGCTAAAGTGTTACACCATCTAAGCATCTCAGAATGCTAGTACACCTCATGAGTAGATAGAGTTGATAATATTCATGGGATCTAATTTACAGAGTGGAATTACTCAAGGAATATGTTAGTGTTTTGAAACATTTACTTTTTCATATTCCCAACATTTAAATGGAATTATGGCATTTGGGGTTTCTGTGATAGTCCCACCGTATACCCCAAGCCAGCCTCAGACTCATGACCCTCCTACCTCAATTTAGCCTTGCTTGCTGTTATTCTTGATTTCTCAGTGCATTAACCTTTGCTTAAATAAAGGTTTTATTCCATCAGTTTTACTCTGGTTGTAAACTTATTGTAATCTATTTAATGTTAGTTTAATATTGATATCCCTTAAAAATATTCAACCATGCCATTAAGATCTAAATGAATTAGAGGTATAGATGGTGCTGGCTATATTTTAACTTTTAATCAATTGAAACAATGTCATGTGTTTATAATCATGTGATTAAAAGTTGACTAAATCCTAATGTTGAGTATATATCATATAGCTTCCTGACTTTTACTATGATATAGGTGATAATAGAAAATATGTGGAGAATCATTAGTCATAGAAGTAATTAACTGACATATCAGAAGCATTTCTGTCCATCAAAATAAAAATATAATTTTGAGAGGAAGAGAAAGTACTGAGGTATGAACCAAGGGTCTTACATGTGCTGGGGAAGCACTCTACCATTGAGCTAAACATAGAGACTAAGAAAACATTTTAAAGATGTGAAGTAATTATTTCAGTCGTAACAACAGTCTAGCATCATTGTATCCAAAATCCTTTTGAATTGTTAATAATTATAATCCTGAAAGGATTTGAGGTAAATGCTTTTTAACTATAGATTACTCTCAAAAGCCTTAATTTCAAATGTTATTTTAACAAACCCTTATAAAACAAAGTGCTTCCCCAGTTTAGTGAACATCACTTAATTTTCTTTAAGGAGTTTGTAGGTTATGATTTTGAATACTGGTTCAAATTACATGGCAATAATTAGGATGATGGCAAATTGGTACATCATAGAATGTCCTATGGAATTTTTTTACAGCCTTTTTGCTTTTATTTCTCAAAGTATTAACTCCTTTTAGTTTAACAGATAATGTTCAGTCATTTTTACACTGGTTATAAATGTAAGTTATTCAGAATTGTGCTAAGTTTAATATTGGCACCCTTTAAAAAATTTGGCAATCATGACATGCAGGTTTAACTGTTATAAAGTAGCTGGGCTTGAGCTGTGGTTTGCCTGACTTCTTGGACACATTGTAAGTAATTTATAGAAGATTCAGACAGACAGCTGGGACATTTATAACTGTTCTTTTATTGGTATGAGCAAATACGCAATCTGAAACTAAGGTTTGTGGCAATGTTAATAGTACATTGAGATAGGAGTATGGTCCAATGATTAAAAAATTCGTATGATTCTTAATTTAGCGGGCGGAAAGAATAGCATCAAATATAACGTGTGTTTGTTGAAACAGGTGGTACCAGGAGAGACTGCACTGGCATTTTATAAAGCTAAGAATCCTACTGACAAACCAGTAATTGGAATTTCTACATATAATGTTGTACCATTTGAAGCTGGACAGTATTTCAATAAAATACAGGTAAACTGAATGTAAACTTTACGATAAAAGTATGTGAAACTGCTTATTATAAATTAAATGCTTTTAATTTCTAAAAGTTCACTTTCTGGCTGGATATTGTGGCTCATGCCTATAATCCTAGTACTCAATAGACTGTGATGGGAGCATTGTCATGAGTAGAGTCCAGCCTGGATGTGGGTATGTAATGGATTCTAAGCCAAGCTGGCCTGCAGTGTGAGACTGCAGAAAAAGGGGGAAAAAAAAAAGCCTAGATCAGTACTTAGTTCTTCTAAACATAAAGCCATTTTTGTGTCTTCATGCTTGCACCATCTAGATGGAGGGGGAAACCAAATTTATGTTTGTTCCTTTTGTTTATTTGTTTTGAGACAGGGTCTATGTATCCTGACTGTCCTGGAGCTCTGTAGACCAGGCTGACTCAAACTCACAGAAACCCACCTGCCTCTGCCTTCCAAATGGTGGGATCAAAGGGCTGTACTACTATACCTGGCTACTGTATTCTAAGATTAGAATTAAATTGCTTCTTAAACGCAGTCTGTGCAGAAAAGATGCTGTTATCCTATGGTGGTGCTTAAGGGCAGGAAATGAATATTGCTGTGTTTAAGTAATACAGAGGAACCTTATTAACCAAATATCTTTCTGTAATTTGTAGTGCTTCTGCTTTGAAGAGCAAAGGCTTAACCCACAAGAAGAAGTAGACATGCCAGTGTTTTTCTATATTGACCCTGAATTTGCAGAAGATCCAAGAATGGTGAA